TGTGAAAGGAAAATAAAATCTTGGGACTCCAAACTCACTATGTTAAAAGGAAGAGTTACACTTGAGAACTGGGTCACGCAAAATCTGCCTTCCCTTTTGTATGTAAACAGATAGGTGCAATGATAGAAGGCCACTGTTTCTCCAGGTGGCCACCCTCCTTTTACATATAATTTGTGGATTCAGTGAGTACTAATCAAACCCTCACAAGAAAGTGACCACTTACCTCACTACCTACCCTCCCTATTACTTTCTTTCCTCCTTTTCTCCTGCTTCTTTTCCCCCTTTAAATACTGAAGCCCTCAAACACCTCTTTGGAAAAAGCACAGATCACAGATGCTACTGCAACCTGTGTCTCTTTTTCTCAGTTGCATCCTCAATCTTGGTAAAATAAACCTCTAAATTGATAGAGAGCTGTCTCAGACACTTTCTCCTTTAGCAAGTTAAGAATTAATTATTAAATCTGTTCAGTGCAATTTGTTGGACTGCACTAAAGTCAAGAGATCTGGGTTTTGTTCTGCCTTGTTGGTCCCCAGGTTTCTTATTTGTGAAGTGAGAGTGTTGATGGTCTCTTAAGTTTCTTTTAGGTTTTAACGTCTGTAGAAATGCTGGTGTCTATATGCTGCAGAACAAGAGAACCATCAAACTGCTCTCAACATATGTCAGAAAAATTATGACAAAAAATATTATGAGGGTTGATAACACCTGTATTTCATATGTGAGTTGCTTGGGTGGATTAAAAAATTATAAATGTAAATACAATTATTGGTATAGCAATGATATAGTGGCTGAGTTAGTATACAATAGGTTAATGAAAATAGAAGCAGGAAGCTGGATTAAATGTGATTATTTGAGTTGTAGTTCTTTCTCTTAAAAAATTTTCTGGCATTTGAACATAATAACCAAATAGTGAGAAAGATAAAACGATTATCCTTTCAGCAGAGCCCAGAGCAAGGAGAACACATTGGCCGTGACTGCTTTCCGGAACATTGTTTCAGGTATAAATATATGCACTGTAAATTAATAGCATTCTCTCTTACCAAAAAGAATATGAGTTTTTTTTTTCCCATGTACCATCTAGCATGAAGGCAACACTCATTACAAGTTGAATATAATGAACACCCATTGAGTGGTTTTATTTATGGGAGCACCAATGCTGATGGACCCAAAAGTATGTTCTATGAGATTTAGAATATATGCATTACTCTCAAAACCTAAAAACAGTTGCAGAAATTAACAACATGAATACTTCAAGACCCTGAATAAAGCAATTCTGGCCACTCATTGTGTCTCATTAAAGCACACAAGCTCATATACATGAACATACATGCATAACTTTACACTTCCCAGTTTGTTCTCTGTAAAAGTTACATGGTCTGTTTTTCTGTTCATGGTTTGTTTTCCTCTCTTTATTCCTATTGGGTTCATATAATATTTATTTCATACATTTTCCTAACATTAGAATGCAAAATCTATGGATAACAGTGTTATTTATCAGTTATATTTTATTGATATGGAAGATGACTCAAAGAGTTTGCCATTTATTTCCTTTCTTTTGAATTTCTCAGAGCCCTAATAATTGCTTGGCTTCTAAACTGAAGTGCCAAGCAGCTTTTGCAAAAACCTTACATTCTCTCTTAAACTATGAAAACTCTTTCCACACAAACACCAGACTCAAGAGAAGTTAATCGATAGGGCATATGTGCATCCCCTCCCTGTTCATGTTTCTGAAAAAAATCAAATAGACCCCCCACCTCAAAACATGATAATTAAGTGGTATAAAAGTAGCAATTTCATCTAGGAAGGCTTTTAGCTGGTTTGCTTTTGTGTGTTTTTGAAGCACGGTGGGAGAAGTGGTAGCACCATTATGAATGCTTAGAGAATATTTGCACCAAAGCCATGTGCCTACCTATCTGTGCAAACAAGGAAAGAAAATTGAGGTAGTAAAACCTGTAAACTAAGACAGAAATGGGACCCTATGAGATGCATTACAGGAGCTGAGCACAAAGGACTGAACAGGATCAACGGCTTCATTTGCTAGGGACTGGAGTTTAATGAATGATTTGGAAGGATACTCAAGCCATGGGACAATACAAAACTTTCAGGCACCCTGTAGATCATAAAATATGTGGGGAGATCATTTCTCTAAGGCAAGGATACAAAGTTCCTTGCTGTATAGTAACGCATTGTTCTGCCTGATGCTTGCAGTCAGGCCAATAATAGGGGATTAGATAACCATCTCTCAGTTGCTACATGAGCACTCAAACTAACTGAAGTAGAGTGTCCTCTCCTCTCAAAACACTGGTTTTTCAAGCAACAGACACCTAGACCTAGGGATTTTAAATGCATTGCTTTTGATTTCATATAACTTAGTTGGGTAGTGAAAGCTAAGTATATATAACTTGAATTTTTCTTGGAGTTTTTCTTACATTTCTGATTGATTTCTTATGAAAAGTGACCTTAAAGGGCACCCACATTCTCCCCAAGGCAGAGCTTGTTATTAATACGTTAGTAGGGCTCAGTCAGAAGAACTCCAAAAGTTGCTCCCTTTATTTTGTTAAGTTCTCTCTATCAGCTTCTATGTGCACCTTTATGTAAGGACTCACCGTGCAGGCCAAATGTTCTTTTCTCTAGATAGCTTATAAGCATCTGGATAAATTTGCATTAGAAATTCAATTAACTTTATATTAAAAGGTCAATTAACTTGGCCATGATAGAGATTGTTTTTAATTACTTTTTCTTGTAGGGCTTCTCTTCTTGTCCAAGCACAAGTGACACTATCAAATGATAGTCTCATTGCCTGTTGGTTACCTGAAACTCATATCCAAAACACACAGGAAATAACTGTCTTGGTTAAGTGAATTAATAAGACATTCTTTAGACAATTCATAAGTATTATAATTTTGGGGACTTAAAGTATCCGTAACCAATAACAAAGTATTTAAGCTTAAATAGCCTCCATGGTATTGTTCATGACAATCCCCTTCATTGTCTGTCTTTGTTGGTTTCTATTTTCTTGGTGAAAGATGATAATAAAGTAAAATGATTTGAAGGATTAGTTCTTATTACACTATATCACAGTGTATTTCAAGAAAAATTAACAAATAATGACATTACAAATCTGTGATCTCTGTCAGGCATGGTGGCTTATGCCTGCAATCTCAGCACTTTGGGAGGCCGAGGCAGGCAAATCACTCAAGGTCAGGAGTTCAAGACCAGCCTGGTCAACATGGTGAAACCCCATCTCTACTAAAAAATACAAAAATTAGCCTGGTGTGGTGGCAGGTTCCTATAATCCCAGATACTTGGGAGGCTGAGGCAGGGAGAATTGCTTGAACCCGGGAGTCAGAGGTTGCAGTGAGCCAAGATCATGCCACTGCACTCTAGCCTGGGCAACAGAGTGAGATTCCATCTCAAAAAACAAACAAACAAAAAAACAAAAAATCAGTGATCTCATTTCATTAGAGAGCTCTTAGTTATCTTTGTGTTAATATGAGCCACAATTCAACTCATTCATGGGGCACTAGAACACTTATACTTAAGAGGTTCAAGGGATTACCACTTGGCATTAAGTTACAAGTGGCAATAGGGTCCACTTGATATTAAATTGTAACCATTATTGAACTATCACTCAGGCAAAATAAAATAACTAAAGATAAATATATCAATAATATATCTACATATTTGATACATTAATGCATTAACCCAAACTTCCAGATGAGTAGCAACTTAAAAATGAAGCAAACACTGTTCAGGAGTTGATATGAGGAAAAGTCTTGAGATGAAACTTATTTCACTTTTGCAGAAGAGAATAGCCTTCACCCTCCAGAAGCAATAAGATGTCCTAAGCACTTTGTAAATGCTACCTATATCACTCTCACTACAACCTTATAAGATAAAATTCATTTTCTCATTTTACTGATGTTTCAGCCAAGATCATACAGTTCATTGGAGGCTGAGTTACCTGTGTTCATCTACCTTTCCAGACTTTCAATTTTCCCCTAGAATGAAAACGCTGGATCTAAAAGTAATGAGACTATAAAATGCCTGTAAAAGGGTGCTTAGGGCTGGGTGTGGTGGCTCACGCCTATAATCCCAGCACTTTGGGAGGCCAAAGTGAGTGGATTATGAGGTCAGGAGTTCAAGACCAGCCTGGCCAAGATTGTGAAACCCCGTCTCTATTAAAAATACAAAATTTAGCCAAGTGCGGTGGTTGGCGCCTATAATCCCAACTACTCAGGATGCTGAGACAAGACAATTGCTTGAACCCGGGAGGTGGAGGTTGCAGTGAGCCAAGATTGCACAACTGCACACTCCAGGCTGGGCGACAGAGTGAGACTCCGTAAAAAAAAAAAACCGGCGGGTGCTTAGGAGTGTTCTGAATGCTAGAGGTAATTCTAAGCATTCAGTTTTAGAACTAAGAGGAAGGGAACAGATTAGGCCCATGGCACTCAAAGAATGTGTCCACAAGAGTATAAATTAACTCTGTCGTTGAGCACAATTTTTCCCCTTGGTGAGACTTTCTCAATGAAAAAAGCTATGCATCACTTTATATTCCAGTTTATATTCCAGTGCATATTTCTAATCTTCACATGGACAAATAACAGTTTGAAAAGCAGTAACCAGTCCATGAACAAGGCTTTAAGTGGCAGAAGCTTAAGAAGCTTCTTATGAGATTTTCCTTTCCTGCGAGTATTTTAATCATTTTGGATAAGAGTTATCCTTAAAGTTATCCTATTTGATTTTTCATTTATCAAAAGAATAAGTCACATCCCTTTTTCACAATAGAGATAGTAATGAAGGCTAGTATCCTATACCCTATAAATCTCTGGGGGCATTAATGTTAGTTGAAGTAATATTGCTAGTTTTAATAAGCTGATTTCTTCCAACAGCAAAAAGAAAAAAAAAAAAAAAGAAACCTTCCTTAAAAAATGAACAATATTGTCATCACACAGCATAATGTTTGAAGTGAAATATAAACTTTAAAAATATATTATTCATACCTGCACCTCCGCCTATGCTTAGAATCTTAATTTCTGATTTTGTGTCTCCAATCCTGAAAGAAAAAATTATGTAGTTTTAGAAAAATGTGTTAGGTGCTTTGTGAAATCTGATTATCTAGTCTAGTGTTGAAGAGAACAGACTAAAAATACAATGAATGAAAACTAGGCCAACATGAAAGTTCCCAATTATACCAGTTACATTGCCATCTTTAGAGTATATTTCAAAATACAGGTTATATTCATTAACAATCTTGAACTGGGAGACTTGGAAATGGCAGTAATTACATCTCAGAGGTAGAAAATGCCATTTGTTTGAATATTGTTTGGAGAACAAGAATAGAAAAAGTGGAGTTTTGAGTCTGGTAATATAATAAGCCACCCATCGTAGATAGGGAAAAGGCTCAGGTGGTTCCCACTATCTATAATGTCTGCCTTCTTTCCTCCCCCACCCCTTTTTTTTTAACCTTCCTTTTAATGAACAAATGTTTATTAAACATGTATTATGTGTATTCTATCCTAGGCATTAAAAAAACAGATATCACTTTGCTCTCAAAATGAAATGTGAGATAATAAAGCCCTGAATTATGACTCAGATACTAGAAATAGAATGAAGTAGATAGATTGGGAAATAAGCCAGTAGAACTTGCTGTTAGATTGATGTGAAGACGTAAGAAAACAAAAAATATGAGCGTGCAATGACTTCCCTGTTTCAGGCTTGGATGACTGGGCAGAGGGTGATGCCAAAAAGGAAGCTGAGAAATATAGTTTGGCAGCAAACTTATGTTTTGTCAGGGCTTTTTAAAAAAATAAATACGAATTCGGCAAACATTTGAATTTGCAAGATTTAAGCTGGGAGAAGAGAAATCAGGGTCAGTGATGTATTCTGGAGAATCATCATCATAAAGTAATGGTCAATGCTAGAAGAGTAGATTCCATCACCCAAAGATATTGCAGAGTTAGAGTAGTAGTGGATGGTGATGCAATACCAACTTCTAAAGATAACTGGATTGTGAAGAATACACAAAGAAGACAGAGAAGAAAAGAAAGCACAGAGAAGTACTAGAGTAACTGGAGGCAGAGAAAGCCCTTAGTCGTGGCAAAAGCAGCAGAGTGTACTACTTAAAAAAGGAAAAATCTATACCAAATTTGGCAATATAAGTGTCTTTAATAATAGCAGTTTTAAAAGAAGACTGAAGACTGCAGTCAGATGGCAATGGGATTAAAAGTGAGCTCAAAAATGAGGAAGCAGATCTGGAGTCTGTTGAAAAAGGATGAAAGAGAGAAGGAAAAGAGATGACTGCTACAGGGGAACCATGAAGGGAAAAGGATGGTGTTTGTTTCTTTGGACTGTGGGGTGGTAAACAAACCTGTGTTTTCTCTTCATTGCAAAAGCTTGCACAGTCACAGGATGGGAACAAAGGTTGAAGTAAGGTTCTAAAGGAATCTTGCAAAGTCTAGGATCAAGAACACCTATAAATGAGTTGCCTTTTTCAGTTCTAATTATCCTCCAGTTCATAATCCTGCATCCTAACACATCCATTTCTATCTTAACCTTTTGTTCATTCTTTAAAATGCTTACATCTATGACAGCATAGGGAGGCTATGAAGCAGAGGACCCAAGTTGAAATCCCAGGTTACTGATATGTTACCTTGAGCAAGTTATTTGACATCTCTGTGAAATAAGATAATAATATCACCTCTCTTGTAGGATTATTAGTAACTGTTTCTAATTCATGGAGAAATTGTGAGGATTCAATTATTTAATTCATGTAAAGTTCTTAGAAATGTAACTGCACATGACAAGCACTCCACATATATTAGAAATTATTATGATTCTAGGCACATGTAAGTGACTTACGTGAATCACCTCTTTGAATCCTTAAAATTCCTCTATGAGTTAGATACTATTATTCATCCCATTTCACATATTATAATGACATCAAATAATTATTGAAAACTTACTATTTTCTAGCCAAGGATTTAAAAGTTTAATATGCAGCACCAATAACCAAGTTTACTATTTATAGTTATATACTATAATTTTTCCTGCCCCCAAGCTCTGCCCCACCATCTACCCCCAAATAGGGGATTGAAGAATTCCTCTATAGGGAAACAAATCATCTCAGTAATAAAGTTAACATGATTTCATATCTGAGGATCACCCAGGAAAGAGCTGAGTCCACAATTACTCAGTGAGCTACTCACTCAACAAACCCTGCCCTGACTTACACAAAGAGAATCTGACTACCTTTTAGTGCGTCATTATTTGATTGAACAGAAAACCAAGGCTCATTAGGCAGTTGGGGAGCTGTCAAACATAAGAAACAGAGACTGAAAGAGGCAGAGAGAGCAGAGGAACATTTTGTAATGAATAAGAAGGTATTACGTCTGAGAATGATGAAAAGAATGCTATAGAAAACATTCTTGGAAATTAAAAATATAATAGTAAAAAATTAATAGATGGGCTGAAAGAGAAAGTCATAGCAAACTGGAAATACAAGAAAATTAGGTAATCAATCCAGGAGGTATTTGATGAGTAAAAGTTTCAGAAAAAGAAAACAGAGGGGAGGAATGATTACCAAAGTTCCTCATAACTGAAGGTTCTGAATCTCAACCGAAATAGCCCAGGGAGTACCCACAAAATGGGTGAAAAGGAACCATTTCACAACTCACTATTTTAAAATTTCAGAGTACTAGAGATAAGATTCTAAAAAGTTCAAAATAGGGAAAACAAAACACATAATGTGAAGTTATTCCACAACCCAAGGATGAGAATTTTGAGTAGCATTTGATTTCTTTTTTCTCTTGTGTGAGACAGGGTCTCACTCTGTCATCTCGACTGAGTGCAGTGTCGCAATCATGTCTCACTGAAGCCTTGATCTCCCGGATTTAAGCAATCTTCCCACTTCAGCTTCTGGAGTAGCCAGTGCTACAGGTGCACGCCACCTTGTTCAGCTAATTTTTGTTTACTTTTTCTGTAGAGATGGGATCTTGCTGTGTTGCCCAGGCTTGTCTCAAACTCCTGGGCTCAAGTAATCTTCCTGCCTCAGTCTCCCAAAGTGCTGAGATTACAGGCACGAACCAACACACCTGGCCAGTATTTTATTTGTTAACAGCAATTCTGGTATCTAAAAGACAATGTAAAAGTACCTTTAGATGTATGATACAAAACCATTTTCAGTATACAGTTCTATATCCAGTCAAACTGTCTAACTCCGATGAACATAGAACCAAGGGATTTTTAAACATTCAAAATCTCAAAAAGTTTACCTCTCATTCACTCTTAAAGCTTTTAAAGAATTAGTTCAGGAAACAAAGGACTGAGGAAACAAAGAAAAGAAAGGCATGAGATACAGAATCAGGAAATCAAATACTTCAGAAAGAAAATGATTCTCAGAAAGTGAAATAACCCCCCTCCTTAATAGTTGTATAGCAGGCCAAAGCAGATCTTCCTAAACCGAAAAAAAGAACAGAAGGCTTCAGAAAAGTTGTTCCCTTGGGGTAAAATAAACAGATTCCTTGATATGTTTGCATATATTGAGATGAGATTAGTATATCTGCTTCGGAATCAAGGTAGTAATAGGTACATAGAGAACTAAGAAAAGAAACCAAAATTAAGGCAATAGTCAACTCTAGGGAAAACAAAAAGTTGTACATAAAAGGAAATGTAAGCATAGTATATTGCTTAATTATTAATAATATGTACATAGGCAAAATAACATAAACACTCAAATTATTTAACCAAAATTTTGACTAAATATAGTGACATGAAAGGGTGGGAAATACGCATGCTAATTAGCTAGTTTAGTACAGCAAAATGAAGAAATAGAAAAATAACATGTTATTTTGAATTATGAAAGAAAATTCCATAAATAACTAAAAGATTTCAAAGTGCTGAAAGTGGTTGCTTCTGGAGAGTGAGAATCAAGAATGGAGTGGGTGGGATTTGTTATAGGCCCCACCCACTTTAGAACCATTTGATTGTTTTTAGAACCATTTGATGTTTTAAAACATGAGCACGTCTTGCTTTAATAAAAATTTAATAGGCTCGCTCCATACTCAATTAGCACAGTGAGCCACCAAGTCAACAAACCCTGCCCTAACATACACAAAGCGTATCCTAATCACGTTTTGGTACTTCATAACTCATAGACAACTTTAAGCAACAATTTTAAAGGTTCTTCAGCTAAATCTTATTTCAAACACTACCTTCAGGAAAAAATTACTTTTTAAATAAATGACACTGAGTCTGATCATTCCTAACTATATACTATTGTTAAAAGACAGTGTGCCCTTAAAAATTCTTTAGTCTTTCACAGATTTTATAATATTTCCAGTTAGATTAAACTTTGAAGATAAGGAAGGGGTCATTCATCATTTATTACGTTATCTCCATCCACAGCACCTCTTCAAACCAAACTCTGTATGGCTGAAGAAAACCAAGGATCTGGTAAGCTACAGACATGAGCAATACTTTTGGTACTGGAAAAGAATTGAGAAATTAGCTCATTACCTTTAACTTTAGAAGTGAGCAAGGAAACCCAAAGAGGTTAACTATAATTAGTTCCTAGATAAGAAGTTATCTGTATTTGCCATCTGCTTTGATGTTTGGCATCCTTATCCTATTATATATTAATTTTTAATATATAGTATCCTATTTTTTTAAAGCTAACATTTAAAATCTGAATCATGTTAAATAGAAAGGGAAATAAAATTTTATATACATCTAATAATGCCTGCTCTGGTCAGACGTAGGTACTGCCCTGGTGAAAGAATTTCAGGCCTATAATAGAGAAATTTAGCAAAAGATAAAATACCACTTTCCTTTGCTGTTTGCAAATTGGATCCATAGTCATTTCTTCCCAGTTTTCCATTATTATTTCCTGAAGCAGAGTGAGTTACAGCAAATCACCCCTAGATAGGTGATTTGATTATCTTTAGCATGTGGAATCTGTTACTCTCATAATGCTTATCAGCTCTGACACAAATTGAATACATTAATCACCCCAAAAAAGAACTCTGCAAGAAGGATAGGAACCAGTGAGTTTCACTGATAATGGGAAAATGGTTCTTTTTTTAAGGAACACGTTGCTAATATTAAGTTGAAAGAAAAAGACAATTTTGGGGAAGAGAGTGATAACTATAACAATGGATAAGGAAAATGAATTTAAATGGATATTATGAGAACTGAGGGACTCAGTCCTCAGGGCAAATCTTACTTTGGCAATTATTTATATTTGATTCTAATGAAAAGTATACCAGACTCCCTTTGGGCCTTTTCGGGGATGTAAAATTTGGAGGAGGGCTGAAAAGTCTGAGTTCGAAGATTAGCATCTTATCTTTTTCCAAATGAACATGGATTTGTGCCTTCAAATGGTTAACGCTTATCTGTATGCAGCTGGAAATACAGCACAAAAGGGAGCCTTTAAGTGTTTAAAGCAAACGTAGAACCAAAGCACTGCAGGAGAAAGGCAGGGCAGGGCAGCGAGGAGGGGGACGAGGGGGAGTTGCTATCAGTAACTCGCCCTTATCCCCGTGCCCAGCCTGCTAGGCTGAGCTAGACCCATCTATCACTGACGCACAGCGAGTCTCAGGCTTGTCCCTTTGACAACAACGTCCCTTTTGTTACCTTGCTATTATGCCTGGCAGCTTCTTGTCCATGAATTCCTGCATGCACTGGTGTTCCGTGGAATGGCTGAGAAACCTCCGGAAAGATTCAACATATCTCCCGTGGTCAGAAAACAAGCTCCTCATGGAAGATGCCATGTTTGGTTTTCTGAGAAAGACAGAGTGGGAAGCAAGGTTTAACTTCCCCTCCTTCTCTTCCCAGTTCCCTCATTCTTTCCCCACCCCCACCAGTTTCTATCCAAAAAAAAAAAACGCTAAGCTTGTTTTGAATTTAACATGCACCAAAGGCTGGCGTGCAGAGCTCATTACTGACTCAATATTTGAACAGCACTTTGCACTGATACTTTAACCCCTACACGGTTGTTTTATAAGAAATAGAAGTACTAAAGCAAGGCTGTAAATACACTGCTAAAACTTTTCAAACTCCTGATGTTGAAAGGTCATAAAAACAGACTGTATTCAAATCACTTCCTGTTTTGCCAGCAGAGCCACAAGTAAGTTCCAAGTGGGAAAGTGACTGTTCAAAGTGGCAAACGCAGGATGAAAAGGACAGCTACACAGCACTCTCAGAAATCTACAGCAGTGAAATCTTTGACGAAAGACTGTCATCTGCCTCTGGGCTTTCTACAGGATTGTTTTGGCCTTTACATCCCTCAGCACTTGAATTTTCAACTTATCTGTTGCATTTCTTCAAATGCTGATTTGTGGTAACTCAAATTATCTTAAGAAGAAGTCACCAAGGAGGAGCCCAAGAACTCGTAGCTAGAAGCTGTCAGAAGCTGCATTTAGGGGATTGAGAGTGGTGAGAGAAGTCTTGGAGCAAGAATGCAGGACACCAGGGTAAAAGCCCAGTCCGTAGAATCCTTCCCTAAGCACTTTGAACACGACGAGGTCAAAGACAGTTCGCTTGGCTGGTTGAGCCTTTGGAAACCCAGTGGTGTCACCCACCAGAAGACCCAAAGCTTCAGAGTACTCACACACAGTCTTTCTCCTGGGAAGTGGTCTTTAAGAAGGTATCTAATTCTTTATCTAATACTGAGTTTTTAATAATAGCATCCAACTCATGGAGGAGTTGTGAGGATCAAATGAGTTAACTCATTATAAGTCTCTTAGAAATATGTCTGCTTAAACCGTCCCCTTCTAATTGAGTTCCCAAACTGCCCTCTAAGCATTCAAAACACTCCCCAACCCCCTTTGTTTTTTGTTTGTTTGTTTTTGTTTTTTGAGACGGAGTCTCGCTCTGTCGCCCAACCTGGAGTGCCATGGTGCGATCTCCGCTGACTGCAACCTCTGCCTCCTGGGCTGAAGTGATTCTCCTGTCTCAGCCTCCCGAATAACTGGGATTACAGGCGCCCGCCACCACGCCTGGCTAATTTTTATATTTTTAGTAGAGATGGGGTTTCAGCATGTTGGTCAGGCTGGGGTTGAACTCTTGACCTCAAGTGATCCACCCACCTTGGCCTCCCAAAGTGCTGGGATTACAGGCATGAGCCACCATGCCCAGCCCCCAACCCCCTCCCCCAACTCTCTTTTATAAGTATGTTTTGTTCTCACTATTCTTAGAGCCAGTGCTTTTACCCTAGGGGAAAATGGAACATCTGGATAGGCAGATTGCCATGGATGACTCTGTCCTTAATGAACTATGTGACTTTGGCTGAAATATAAGCTGCAGTTTGCTCATTAGTAAAATGGGAACAACGAATTTTATCTCATAGGGTTGTAGTGAGAATAGCATAACTAATGTTTAAAAAGTGCAAGCCAGTCCCTTCCGCAGAAAAAAAATAGTAATAATAATAAAATAACAAAAACAATCGTCACTTTATTCATGGACGTTGAAATTTGAGTTTCATATCATTTTCTCATGTCATGAAATACTATCCTTCTTTGAATTTACTTTAACCATTTAAAAACATAAAAGTTATTGGTAGCTCATGGGCTGCACAAAACAGGTGGGTAGGGCTGGGTTCGGCCACAGGCCCTATTTGGTCAGGCCCTGATTTAGCTCCTCTGCCCTTCACTCATCCTTGGATAAGGTCTTTGCTAGTTCTCTACTCACATCTCTATCCAACCAGCCTTCCATTTCCTCAGATTGGCTCTGACA